GAGAGGAGAGAGAGAGAGCATTACATATGAAGTGATAATGCAATCCACCCCCTTTTTTGTAGGATGGAAAGGCTTAACATGGGGTATGTCCACGGTCAAGTGAAGGTTGTAGGGGCAGTGATTTGCATAACAGGGGCTTTCATACTGTCCTTGTACAAAGGTCCTCCTCTTAAGTCTCTCAACTTGCACCATTCATCTCTGCATTCCATCACCTCTTCAACTGCAAGTAAGGACGAATGGGTGAAAGGTGCCTTCCTCATGCTCACATGCAATGCAGCATGGGCCTTATGGCTCGTTTTGCAGGTTGGCCTATTGCTGATGCTTGCATTATTTATTTATTTATTTATTTAATGTAATGCATTATTTATTCATTCCTACAATTCGAAAGGTGACTTTTTAAGAACTGTGTTTAGTTGCCGACTTTTAGTGGCACTGCATCCTAAGTTCGATTCCTACTTAGCGGTACTATATCTCAAGTTCGATTCCTGCTTTTTAACTAAAAAAAATAAACTAATAAGTAAAGCATACCATTCACTACTAGAGTACGGTATTCTTGCACTATAAGATGGTAACTACTAAGTTTAAGTGAAAGATGGTGTATAGATTTTATACTCTTCATGAGTCATGATATAGTTTTCATTCACTACTAGAGTATTCTTGCACTATGAGATGGTAACTACTAAGTATATGTGAAAGATGGTGTATTTTATACTCTTCATGAATCATGATATAGTTTTCATTGGTGAGTATAGGGAATATCTCGGAATGGGGTTGAGGTCGCGGTGTAGTATCACTTGGGCATTAGCTCCTGGTCTAGGTTTTTATTCTCTTTGATACATTTAAAAACTACAAACTATTTCTAAAACAAGTAGGGGCTTCTATTCTTTACTGATCTACCTAAAACAAAAGTATAGTGAATCTCAACTATACGTTGTAGTGAATCTCCACCAACTCCTTCTTCGTCATCCTCTTTTTCATCATCGTCTTTCTACTGATAGAAGATTGATGAACTCTACAACCATCATGGCCATTTAGACTGCTATATACCTCCCCGAATTTTCCAACCAATTAAATAAAAAACTTATTATTATTATTTTTGAATAGGTTAAGCTCGGGTTTTCTAATGTTTATAAAGGTGCAATTTCAAAACGAAAATTTTTATTACATTACAACTTGACAGTACAAATAAGCTGCACCATATAAATTCAGTAAAAAAGAGTATTCCGACCTTTTATTTGGTCATTTCGACTTCAAAATATATAGATATAAAAAGAAAATTGAATTTCAAGTCCTAAAAGTAGTGAATCGTGTAATAAGTCATCTGGGTTGTCTAATTTCAAGATTTTCGAATATTTATAGATCTACCTGATATGCACTATTTTAAAATTTTTAATTTCATAATTAGGGTTGAACATGAAGTTTTGTGCCATAATAATGGTTTCGACACCAAGACTATATCTGCCGACAAAATTTGGAGTGTGACTTACTTTATAATATAAGGTGGTCAACTTATACAAACCTCACCCTTCGAATTTTTTTTTTTTTTTTTTAAAATTCTTTAAAGGACACAATGCAATCATTTATCATTTACATATGCATCTAAATAATCCATCGAAGATATTGTTTGAATGTTGAAACATCCTCTAATAGATCATCTTGACATCGCGATGTATGAATATGAAAAAAAAAAAAATTTATGAGTCCCAGGAATAGTGCATCTTGTAACACATTATCTAGACCGTCCATTTTTAAGATTTCCATATGTTAATAGATCTAGTTGATTTTAACCATTTTTAGAGCTTAAAATTTTATGCTTAGATATAAAAATAGATTTTCAGATATAATCCTAAGAATTTTTTACATCAAAATTACATTTTATAATAAAATTTGGAGATGTGTCTTAATTGACTTGTTTAAGGTTGCAATCTTATACAAACCACACCTTTTATCTAATGAACACATATATTATGCGTATGGGAAGCATAATGTATGCCTACCTCCTTAGTTAAAAGATGTACTTGGGAGGAGTTTTTTAATCTAAAATTTTGGGAACCACCAAAGAATCACTATATGATTATTTTCTAAGGAAAAAAACTTAAGTTTTTGAGTTTTTGACCCTTAAATCTTGCCCTTCAAACTTTGGACGGTCTCTGTCTTGTCTTGATACATTTTCTTTTTAGTACATAGAGAGTTTAATTCCATTTTTATTTTTATTTTTTTTATTTTTATTGAGGTTAGACAATGGGTTGAAGATGTTACATTCCTAAAATTTGCAGTCTAAAATTACTCTTCTATTGGGTTTTACCACAGGGAGTAAATGGGTAATATATTCCCACAAGAGTATAAAATCTTTTAGCTTATCTTATAATGTTTTTATTTTGGAAGAAATTTTATAAAATAACAATCAAGGTGATTTTATTGAGAAAAAGTACATAATAAGATTATTTACTTTTAGTTTGAGGAGGTCACATTTACTTTGGCCGTCGTATGTGGAACGGGGATCCATTTACTTTTCATTCAAGGTCACAATAATTTTGGCCTTTGGCCACGAAATCAGGCATTTCAAAGTGTGGCAGTGATCAGATTTAAATTTCAAAAAAAAAATTAAATCTAAATTTGATGAGATACCTATATATTCATAGATCACATTTGATGGTTATTGATAATTGAAACCGTTCTCATAGTATACGATCCCTTTTGTAAATTATGAATCTTCATTAAAATAGTTTGCGGTTTGGGTCCCAGCCATTAAACTCGAGGATGCCATATTAGCAGTTTAAAATTTGATCACTCACATTTATTTCTATATGAATCGAAACTTTAGTGTCGAAAATTTATGTCCGTACTATAAATAAAATAGAGAGTTACGTGGAGGTCTAAATTTTGAAAAACTTACATAGAGGTCTATTTGTTTGCTTTTTAATTTTGCTTTTTGTCCGATGTTCCAAACATCATATTATTATTATTATTATTGTTATAAAGTTTTTGAAGTGTAGGGATCAATCTGTGTATAGATCCTTTAACCACTTAGTTTATGTGAAGATTATGCAAGCCAAGGGGTCCAAATTCTAGAACCTTACACCATACGTGGACCATACATTGCAGCCTAGGGATATGTTTGAGGCTTACACTTCGGACCACATGGCTTGCGTGAACATTATATGACATGCTTCTCGGATCCACCTGGGAGATCTCCCGCATGTTAATATTATTACTATGACTTATGATGTTGTTCGTGTTCTCCATGAAATCTGTATTCCTCTCCAAGATTGATTATGAAAACATAGGGACCACCTAAATATGATATTTTACAATAGTTTAGGGCCGTGAACGTCAAGGATATCCTCATTAGTTGCAACGGCTTGGGTACGGGTCAGGTTTGGCCAGAATATTATATTTATATGTGTAAATTACAAAGAAGAACGGTCAACCCACTTTTTTTTATTTTTCCAAAATTGACTCTCGGTGTGAGGATATCCTTGGACCAAATTTGATTTTATTTTTTTTTAATTTTTTTTCATTAGTAGGGTACTACCCTAAAGCTTGGGGCATTGCCCTACTAACGGAAAAATTAAAATTGAGGATTTCATCCTCATACCAAAAGGCAAATTTGAAAAAAATAAAAAAAAGTGGGTTGGCCGACATTCTTTGTAATTTCTACCTAAAAACTGAACATTTCATATTTTAGAAATTGTTTTAAGGTATGTATGTAAAGCACTCTTCAAAATTTTAACTTTTGTAGTCCATACTTTCTAAAATCTCAGTCACGTGTTGAGCTTTTGCGAGAAATAAAGTCCTCTTTTACTTGCCATCTAAGAAACATAGACACATATCCTAGGGTTTGACCATATGTCGATATTTGGCGGACATCAATACGTATGTTGACACTTTTGAGCATGCATACGACATCTCTATTAACTTTCCACTACTATATCTTTTTTTTAGACACATTTCTTCTTTTGAAAGTGATGTTTCTTTTTTTAGAAACTTCATTCTTCATTAAAAGTATTTTATTTTATAAGTAACAAATATTTAAAAGTAACAAATATTTTAAAATAAAATTAGTAGTTTAGAATAAAAAATAAAATTTTTATTAATTAAATTAGGGTTTTCATAAGTCATTGTTACTATAAATAAAAAATAAGATTTTTTTGAACTACTATGAAATTTTTTATGTTTTCTCTCTCCTCAACTAGTTTCTCTCTTTACAAGTCATGAACCACTACTGGTTTCCCCCTTTTTAAGTCTGTGAACTATTGATTTCTTTCTTTCCAAGTTATGGACCACTAGATATTCATCTTTCTTCTTTGTGTGTTTTGTGCCATCTAAAATCTTTATTGTTCCATATATTTTTCCCATTAATGGTATGAATTGTATTGCACCTTGCCATGTGCTGGCAATTGATTTTTAGTAGTTTTGAAAGCTTATAGTTAGGCACTTTTCAATAGCTACACAATAAGGGTGCTACATTTTGAATTAATGATTAATAGCGTGTCTGGATGTCATTTTTTGGGGTTCACGTCTCTAACACTCGTATCTGTGTTAAAAATAAACATTGTGTCTGTATCTATATAATATAGTTTGCTATCCATCAAAATGATTGAAAACTCCTATTCTAGACCATGGAAGTGAACAATTTTGTTGAGTGAGCTCCCAAAGAAAGAACATGGTTCACTCTAGACAATTAGAAAACTTTGATAACAATTGTTGCATCATGAGGGAAGACACTCTTTGGTACAATTTCTAAATTTGGAGTATGTTCACTTGATTTGGTATATTTTTAAGAGAAAATATCTACATATCTCTTATTTTTAGATTTCATTTCTTGATAAACTCAATATTTTAAAAGATATCTTCTAACCCCTTGGCCACTTTAAACCTATTTTTTAACCTAAATAAATATGAGAAAGACCTAAACCGAATCATTTCTCTCTCTTCACTTATATACCCCAAATTTCTCTTTCTCTTTCTTCCTACATCTGTCACTCTCTCTCTCCTCCTCTCAAACTTAAAAAAGGAATTTTTTTCTAAACTTTTTTCCCTCTCCCCATCTCCCAAACTCCTCATACACACACACACACACACACTCTCTCTCTCTGTATTCCCTTATTTTTTCTCTCCGAGTCATCTCTCTTTTTGTATTCTACTATTTTTTTTCCCTAGTTCTATCTCTCTTTTTGTATTCTCCATTCTTTTTCTCTTTCCCTATCTCTCACTCTCTCCCTTCCCGTGTCTTCTTCCCGATCTCTCTCTCCCCATCTCCCAGACCCCCCTCCTCTCTCTCTCTCTCTCTCTCTCTCCTAATATTTCTCCTTATTTTTTCTCTCCATGTCTTCTATCTTTTTTCGTATTTCCCATTCTTTTTCTCTCCCCTGTTTCCCACTTTCTTCACACCGAACTCTTTCTTTGCAGCATAAATATATAAAATTATATGGAAAACATAGATGGTGCATAAATGTTCAATGGAGGTCAGTAAATATTTTCAGGAACTAATATAGATATAGTTTTCAAAAGACATTCTCTAAGTTTTCAAAGGTTCCCAAAACATCATCTGCGCTTTCAAATGGGTTGACAGTCAAGTTGGAGCTTTCAGATGGGTTGGCAATTAAATTGGAGCTTTTAGATTACTTGCCAGTCGAATTGGGATGTGCAATTTATTTATCAAATTGATAGCTCTCGAATTTGTCTATCACGGGGAGAGAGAAAGCGTTAGGAGAGCACCGGAAGAGAGAGTGAGAGACACAGGGAGAGGAAATGGGGAAATAGAGAGAGGGGTTTCATTATAGGGAGAGAGAAAACGTGGGTTTGGCAGATGTGGAGAGAGAAAACGTGAAGGGAGAGAGGTTTAGAAAGAGAGGATGATTTTAGAAAAGATGTCTTTTTAGATTTGTTCGGCCTAAAAAAACATATTTAAATTAGCTCAGAGGGTTAGAAGAAATAAAATCTACAATTTTTATACCCAAAGATATCTTTTAAAACTTTGTGTCTATTGTGAAATAAAAATCTCAAAATAAGAGGTATTGAGATATTTTTCCTATTTTTAAAGCACCAGCCTATTTAAAGCAGGTTTATTAGATATTTTAAGATTGCAAAAAAACACCAACGCAGACCCGTTTGCTTTTCTTTTTTTTTTAATAGTTTTGTCCTGCGTCTTTTGTTTTTCATACCTATACTCATTTTGATCAATTTTATATTCCAAAGTAGCTTAAAATGAAGCAATTTGGTTATGCGGGTTTTGAATAATCAATAGCAAGTATAGACTCATTTAAGTTTTTGAAATTTTACGTGTGGACCTGAAAACAAATGCAGCATTACCGCATGGCCTATAATTTCCCTGATTTTATGTCTAGGTCCTAGTTTGTGTTTTTTTTTTTCTATTCCTGCTTTGGCCTTTTTTTGATGTTATAAACATGTGACCTTTTTTTTCTTCTTCTTCTATTTTTAATTCTTTTATTTTTTACTTTTTATTTTTTATTTTTTATTTTAAACCATCATGAATTCTATGGCTGTATGAAGCCCCATGTATCATACCACCCTATTTCTAGGGGAGCTGATATTAGAAATACCGAATTGCCCTATGATGGGAGCAATCCGATATTCCAAATATCAAATTACCCCATGCTCCTAAAATTTTAGAGTTTTGTTTAGTATGTAGCGCTACAATGTCTATAACCTCGGAGTACCTATCCTTAGTGTGTCCTTTTGTCTCCCTTCTATGTTCTAAAAAACGAATTATTGTTATTTTATAACTGTGAAGTACGTGTAAAAATTTCAATACCTTTTTTTATTTCAAGAAGTGTTACATGAGTCGGGGGACACATTCCTACATTTGTGCCCCCGAGGCATAAACCATCAATCAAAGAATAGATGTAAATGATGGTCTCTCAAAAAAAATAAAATAATAGTTCAAATATTTCTTTCAAAAAATTTTATTTTAGTTTCTAAAAGTATTTCTTTTAACACATGCATGATCTCCATTCTAGTGACTACATATTCCTTAAAAAGTAAGGTCAAAATACATTTTGAAATCAATTATTGGGGGGCTGCATTTCTACATTTGAGTCCATGGATTCATAGAGACCGTGTCATTTTGATTTAGAGGCTGAATCCTAGCCAAAATTTTGGTATTCCTATTACAAAAGTTATTTTATGATATTTTTCTCACAGTTTTATTGAGGTGATTTTAAAAGATGTTTAACAACATTTATTTGGTCAAACCAGTGCATAGGCACCTTCACGTTCAGATATGATGAGTGCTTTAAAAAAAAAAGAAGGTATTGGGTGGCCCGGGACACATCAAAACTCCCTATACTTAAAAAAAGAAGAAAAAGTGCATAAAATATGGAGAAGTCAGACGTTTAGAATATTGAATATTGAGATGTTTTCAATATCGGGCTACCTTAGAGATGGTGCAATTTGAAATTTGGGCATACGACAGTCTTAAAATTCATATCAAATTTGAAAAAAAAAAAAGAACAAGAAAAGGAAAAACTGATTCGATGTTTGCAATATCGAACCAAGGCAAAACATGAATATAAAGAACCCGAAAAAGAAGAAAAGTGGAATAAAATGTGCAAATATAGACCATGCAGTAATTCTGCATTTGCTTTCAGATCCACATGTAAATTATCCTGAACTTTAAAATATGTAAGTTAAACGTTACAACCCTTGCTAATCTAGAATTCAAAGCAACAAAATTGTCTAGACTCCGTAGCTTGAAACAACATAATGCTTCAAACCTTCTAGTAGAAGGGCGACTTTCTCTATGAAATCATCATGGGCACTGGATCTTTTGGATGCTTGAGTCGATTGTTTGTTCTAAAAACTCAGCCCGAGTCCTGGATTCCTCCCTGACCCAACCTAGTAACTCGGCCAAGTCTGAATAGATTTAGCCAAGTAGTGTATAGAGCCCAAAACGCCTTTAAAACAAAAATAAAAAAGTCGTTTAAGATAAATAAAATTTGTAAAGTGAAGCAAAACTAAAGACAACATAAAAAGTCCGAAAAACCTAGAAAAAATATAAAACATAGATATAAAAAAAATTGATTCATAGTTGGAGACATTGAAGAAAGATGATAATATAAAGATAGGGCACATGACAAGAAATGCTCACAAATCATTATAAAAAAATCCAAATTACATAGATTTGTACATTACTTCTATATTCATATATACATTTTGAAAATTTTTAGCCTTTTTTTTTTGGTTTATAGTTTGAGTTACACCGGAGTACTCGGCATGCTTAGGAACCAAGTCCAAGTAACTTGGCCGAATCCAAGTGGATATCCCCCAGTTTTTAATATGTGGTTTGGTATCTATTCATGAATGTGCACTAAGATACTAAATGCTTATAATAAAAATTATATATATATATATATATATATACTTACAGAAAAAAAAAGGGGACCTCTTATACATTCTTTCTCTTTCTCTTGTAGGCTCCCTTGATGAAGGCCTATCCTGCAAAATTGACTTTGACAACTCTACAATGCTTTCTTAGTGCACTCCAGTCTGCAATTGTGGCCTTCGCCATTGAGAGAAGACCCTCTTCATGGAAACTAAATTGGGATCTTAATCTCCTCTCAGTGGTATATTGTGTAAGTCCTAGCCTCCATGAACCCTTTACATTGGCCCTTCAATTTTGCATGATTAAGGCATTATAGGTGTGGTTCAAAGAAGGGCATAGTTTTCTTTCTTTATATGCACTACCATGCTTTTGTTTTCCAAAATAACAGATATCCCTCCCATTGATTGCTTTTCCTTCTCAGGAAAAAGGATTTATCCTTTTATTATGTATGGTTTTTGAGTGGGTATCCTACAAACGCGAGCCATGGCCCTAGCCTGGCACAAATCTGGCCCAGGTGTGCCCAAGCTCTGCTCACGGGCCTATGGTGGTCTGGCCCAGTGTAGGAAAGATCAGGCGGTTCAAATTCTAACCCGGTTAGATTGGAACCGGCTACCCGCTTTAGGTTACCCTGCTGGTTATTTTTTTAAAAAATTAAAACAAATTATAGAAATCTCAAAAAAAATGGAATTTTCTTGTAATGCATTTTTTAATGTTTTTTATCATTTGGGAAAATATTGGAAATTATTTTGACCCTTATAACTTATTTTTATATTTTTCCATCTTTTTAAAAAATTTCAAAAATACCCTTGAGCATAGATCGATTATTTTAAATCTATTTTTTTCATTAATTTTCCCACGAGTTGCCCAATTAGGATGTTTGAACTGGCCGATTCACTTCCAGCCCCATGCCTTGTTAACCGTTTCGGTTTGATTTTCCTACACCGGTCTGGCCATAATCCTTGTCTTTCACTACGGGTATGCTCAACCCATTGCCTCGTAATTGGATCTATCTTGAAACAAGATTGACCTACATAAAAATAAAAAATAAAAATAAAATGGAGAAGGTAATGAAATGTTATCCTACAGGATTGAATTTTTCATTTGGTAATCATAAATGATATTTGTCATTCTAAGATAAATAGGAAAATGGCTCTTGACTCGGTTGTCGGGACCATAAAACTAGATCTTGACATCAAGGGCTCCAATCCCTCCTGCTTTCTCACCCACAAAAAAAAAGAAAAAAAAGAAACCGATTTCAACATGAAATAGTGCCTCAAATCAATATACAATTCAAACCTTCTAAGATTCATCAGATCTTAAATCTTCCTACAAAAACTTAAATTTCTAATATCATCAAACAAATTAGCTTCTTGAGAAATTTATGTGGGTGAGATTTGTATCCTAAAGCTGGGAACTAAGTGTTCAATAATCCATGACAGGGGGTTGCTGTTACTGGTCTGACATATTGGCTTAATTTGTGGTGCATTGAGAAGAAAGGCCCAGTCTTCACAGCCATGTTCACGCCATTAGTCCTCCTCATAACTGCAATTTTGTCAGCCCTCTTATGGAATGAGCCACTGTATTGGGGAAGGTTTGTTATACCAACTATGAGTTTATTACTATCTTGCAAACCATGCAAAATGGCCTTTACGATTATGCACTTGGAGCTGATAACTATAAGAATATTCACTATTGTTGGTAGAGTAAAATGGTAGAAAATTCGAAATAAGGGGTGTACTGCATGCGTTTTAGAGGAAGGGAAATTTTATTAAATGGTCAAACCACCTTAAAAAATGAATGGAGTTGGTAAAATCAACAATTTGACTAAAAAAGTGAATCTTTTAAAGTGGCTTTCTTTTTGGTGCATCCTCAAGAATTCTATCAACAAATTTCCAAATTGCTCTTTTCCGAGGTTTGTTACTTCGAATAGAAGTTATTTGGTAATTTGAACTCGCTCAAGTCATTTGAGCCAAATAACCTAAACATCACTGCTTGTATGAAATCTCAAAATAGGAATATATTTTTTTATTGAAAAATATTGTTTGGATTTAGATCCCAGAACAAGTGGGGTATTTTTTTGTAATTTGTCCCAACTTAACTAGTTCAAGCCAAAAAGATGTAAATAACTTATACTTGATCTAGTTTCCAATCTCGTAATTTTTAATGAAAATAATGTGTTTCAGACCTTCGGGCTTTAGCCCTGGAAGAAGAAGGGTATTGAGGTTATTTGTATCAAGTAAATTAACTTGAGAAAAATTGAACTTTTATAACAAACTAATTGAAGGGAAAGGTTTTTATATTTCCCGTACAACATGGAAGTTCTATCCTCCCCTTACGACCCAGCTGTCCAATTTTGATCAAGAGAGCCACTCACTATTTGATCTTAGATCCGACGTTTCAAAGTATTTTATTTTTAGTTTTTTTTAAAACTTGTATGAATATGAAATTTGGTACGTGATATCTTCTCATTGGGGCGAACCTATAAAAAATATTAAAAATAATTTTTCGATAAAATATAATAATCAAAATACCACTTGAAACTTTCAGGGGTATTTTGGTTATTTTATTTTATTGAAAATATTTTTTTTGTATTTTTTGCAGTACGAGTTTAATAGAGGATTGAACGTACAAAATTTGGTGTCAAAATAGTTTATAGAAAAAAAACTAAAAATAAAATAGTGTAAAGACGTGACATTTTATGGCTAAGGCTTGTTGAAATTACATATTGAAAATTGTTGTTTTGAAGTGGGAAAGTAATTAAATTTATTATCTTGATCTAGAAAATTATGGATTAAAAAGAGAAATTGATTTCAAGCCCCATAAGCACTATGTTTTGTAGCATGCTATCTATATTGTATATTTTCAAGCAGATCTATACTATTTTTGGGACTTCAGAATGGAATGAGTATTCAGACCATTACATGTTTCCACTTCGAAAGTGTAGTTTTCTCAAATATTCACTTCGGTAAACTATAGCTTAGGACGGATTCCGTGATCAGCTTTATTTTTCATTTATTTTAGAAACATCATTTTAATTTTCATTTTTTCATTTTTCATTTTTTCAGTAAAGTTATATATTTTTTCAGTAAAGTTAGTTTTCATTTTTTCAGTAAAGTTATATATTTGACAAAAAAAAATATTTACTATGATATTGTGACCTCAATTAAGGTCACAAAGAATAAGAAAAAGTGGGTGGGCCTTGCAGTATGATAGGGGGAGTTTTGATAGTGGGTGGTCTATACGGCGTTCTATGGGGCAAGAGAAAGGAAGAAAAGGTGGCCCTTGAGCAAGACCTGTTGCCACACATTCAATCCAAAGGAGAGCCATGATGCCCCAAGCTTCCTAGTTCAAGAGATTCTCTTTCTCTCTCTCCCTAAAACAACCAATCCAAATACTTGTGTCTCCCTCTTCAAAACAGGAATACCATTACAAGAGTCTCTCTCTCCTAGAAAAACCTGTCGTCAATTCAAGAAGCTAGAAAATTGTGTGAGTGCTTGTAAGTGATGCCTTCAAATTCTGTGAGTGCCCTGCAAATGCAACAGTTGCAATATGTATATATGTTTTCTTCATTTTAATAAGAGTAAATTACATACAAGTACTTTTTCGAGGTTAATTATCAAATGGATTGTATACAGTGAGACCATTTATCTTTGGGTTTTGTTAAGCTACACCACTTGTGGTGTAGACCTTTAAAGTGCTTAACATTTTTAGATATTTAGATACCCTTATTCTATAATATAATAACTTTTTGTTTAGAGGTATTTTAAGTAATTAGTCAAAAGTAAATTAGTAAATGGGTAGCCTCTAGGAGCTCTATAAAAATGGCCCCTTTTGCCATACGAAAAACAATCAAACAAACTATACACTCTCAACTAACCTTTTCGTAAACAATTATTTGTGAAATTCCACATAGATTAATATAGCCCTCATCTCTCTCTCTCTTTCTGTTCTTTTTTCTCTTTCTCTCTCTATTTAACACATAAGACTCTGGTGTTGACTGTGGGTTTCAAGTTTTGGTGCACAGAGCTTTGGAACATCAGAAGAGACATTTCTGTTTTCTGTATCCCGAGGACGAGTTGCCCTTCTAATAGAAATCTATTATAGCATCGAAGAGGGGCTAATATCGTCTTAAGATAACACTCCTATGTACTTGAAAACAAGAAGGAATCAATTTTCCTTTTCCATAAATCCTACCATCTTTTGCCCCTATTTTACCTAAATGGTTTCCAACAATTCAAGACGATATTTTATACGTGAAAACAATGAGACTACCATGACTTTCTTGAAAGTCATGAACTGCGATTTTATAAAACTCGAGCACTTCAATTGATTGAATTTTAAGAGATGGCAATAGAAGGTCCTTTTTCTGCTTACTAATCTTAAATTGGCTAACATAATCACTGAATCTATGCCTGTACTACCGACACCATTTAATGATTCCACCGACGAGCAAACTCAAACTTATAAAAGATGGATGCAAGATGACTATATTTGAAAATTTTATGTCCTCAACGCTTTGGCAAATCCTATATATAACATGCATGGATCAGTTGCCATGGCGAAGGAGCTATGGAAGCTTCTTAAAACCAAATACCTCACATAAGAGTTTGGTAATAAAAGGTTTCTTAAATCTAATTTTTCGAACTTTAAATTCATTGAAAACAATGCAATTATTCCCCAAATACATGAATTGCAGCTTGTAGTGAATGAATTTAAAGATTGTAAAATTCAATTAGATGAATCTTTTCTAATAGGCACTATACTCACAAACTACCCTCATCTTAGTATGAGTATTAAAAGAAAATAAAATTGAAGATAGTGGAGCTTGATTTTTTTCAACTTCAAAGATCTCTTCAAATTGAAGAAGATGATAGACTTCATCGAAAGAAAGATTTATATAATTTTAAATTAAGACAAACCTTATCGAGCAAAAATCAAGTGCTCAAAATAAAAAGAAGCCTTTCTTTCCTATGATCCATAATGATACTTCTAATGTCCATAATTGTTTAAAATCTATTTTTTCACTACTTCTCAACTTCATTTGGATATGTTTTGTTTAATATATTTAAATATATTTTTCATAGTTTTTTATATTTTTTGGTAAAATATCTCGATACATCCAATTTTTAAGTTTTCTATCTCATTAGACCCAAGATTTCAAAACATATCTAAGCATAAAATTCTTAAGTCTTATATCTTCTAACTACCTGATTAACTTTACTCACTTTTAACTTATTTTTTTAGCCTAAACAAATCTGACAAAGATGTTCTAAACCTTTTCGTTTCTCACTCTTCACATGCTATTCCCCTAAATTTCTTTTTCTCCCCCTCCAAACCCCTCCCCCAAACTAGCTTTCCCCTACGACCCTTTCTCTCTCTGTATTTTCCCCTCCTCTCTCTCTCTCCCTCATGTCTCTCACACTCTCTCCCCCCTGTTTCCATGTACCTCTCTCTCTATGTGTCTGTTTCCCCAACTCCTCTCTCCCCATTACTTAATATCTTGGTGATGGGCTTAATCTATGACTGGTCTTTTGAGGATATTGCTGCAACCTTAAAGAGTGTGTGTCAACAATTGGTAGACACGGCCAAAGGATCGAGAGAGATTGGACACTTGGGCTCTGAACTTAACTACATTAGAGCCACCCTTCTGATGGACCCGGGCCCAGTAACCCTGCAACTCAAGTTTTTAGGTGCTCAGGCACCAATAAAAATCTATGTGAAGTGAAAATCTTATTTTAGAATACACGAGGCTTCCTACAAAGGCTTTCTTCAAGTATTTTAGAATACATGAGGCTTCCTACAAAGGCTTTCTTCAAGTTATTTGGGACCCAAACTGTCTTCTCCCGAGTCTTTCATAATCCTGGTCTTTTTTTTAGTATGTATTTTGTTCTCTTGTCCCTCCTATGGCTTCAAATTGTGGTTTTCGACGCCCCCACCTGGCCCAGTCAGGGAAGATTTTTAGGGGAAACTACTCCACGTCTAGTTGAATACTCCCTGCCGTGCTGCATTGGGGGGGATTGGAATAAAAGCAACTCCTGCATGGTTGGTTGTACCCAAGTTCAAAAGAACACAGAAAAGGCTTAACCATCGTGAAAGCTAAGAGAGACTATGAAGGTTAACATGATCAAAGTCGATGGTAAAGAGGGAGAATGCTTCAATTTTTTAAAAAATCAGAGGCTGATTAGACCTAGTTGTTTCCCATGGCGAGCATGCGTATGGGCTCAAAGCATGTCAATTTAAGAACACTAGCATGTTTTGGCCAGAAGAAATCAATCACCTTCAACTTGATTTATAACAAAACTGAAAAATGTCCTGTGAAGTAAATCCATAAGAATATCCCCTGATTCCAAATAGAAATGCAATCTAGCCACAGGGTCGGGAAACACGGAGAAACCGAGGTTGGGGAAACACAGGAAGAGATAGAGAGGGTGGGGGTGAGAGAGGGGTTTGGGGAAGTAGGACGTAAAGAGAGTGGGAGACAGGGAGAGAGAGTGGGGCATCGAGAGAGAGAGAGAAGGGGTTTGGGGAGAATAACATGGCAGAGAGAGAAAGAAATTTGGGGGAATATAACGTAAACCGAGAGGATGGGTTTAGGACGAGCGTGTCTTTATCATATTTGTTTCGATTAAAAGAAATTGTTTAAAGTAGGTAAAGTTAACCAAATGCGTCACGAGAGATGATACTTATGATTTCTATGCTCCAAGATATATTTTGAATTTTGAATCTATTAAGATAAAAAACTTAAAAATAGTGGGTACGGGGATATTTTTTATATTTTTTAAAGACTGATGAACTGGCCGGGTTATCGCTTACTCAGATGAGGTGGCCCTTGGCTAGTTTCTGAGGCCTGTTTGAATTGTCGAACAGTGCCTTCGGCTGCTACCTGTTAGTGCCCTCAAGAAACACAACGTCAATGTTAGTCCCAATAAAGAAAATTAATAAATAATTAAATAAAATAAATAAACAACTTACTCGGATCTGTCTTTAAATCACACGAGGGATTCAAGGTTCCGTACCAAAACCTATAAACCAAGCCATCCGGTGACAGACTACTTTGAGAGTCCTCTTGGTGAATCTTCTTCACCTTCCATCTCTATTTTTCTATCCTTTTTATCTCTTTTTTAGAGAGGTTAAACTCCTTTTATAGAGAACACATTTATCTTGTAATTCTCGCATTCATAGTCTATAGGAATTGAGATTCGAGTGTAATTTCTGCTTTAAGTCTCTTACGTGCAGCTAATTAGGATCAACAAGTTGTCACCAAACTGTTAATCCTATGTAATGAGTTAAATCTGTCATTAGTCCACTAATGACTCATATAATAGGATATCATCCAAGCATTCCCACAATTTACAAGTAATCCAAACCAGTATTCGTAAAATCGAACCGAAATGGTTAACCAGACATGAGCCCAAAGCGGTTTAACTGGCCTAACCAATAAACCGGCAGATTTAATCACTCTAACTGGACAAGTCTTGGGCGGTAAAAACAATGTTGAAAAAAATAAGAAAATACAAAAAAAATCTACTAAAATATAAAAAACATATAAAGAATGATTAAAACAAAACGCATTCAAGTGAAATTGAAAATTAATAAAAAAAAATCGATTTTAACCCATTTTATATTTTACAATAGCTATTTTTAAAATTTCTAAAAAGATGGAAACTATAAAAATGAGTATTAATAATCAAAATAATTTTTAATATTACCATAATGTAAAGAATATTTAAATGTACATTACAAGTCAAATTCCTTATTTTTGAGAATTTATATACATTCATTTGAATTATTTTATTTTAAATACTGGGTGATCACCCTAACCGCCTAAAACCATAACCGGCCACTAGTGGGATCCGATCTAACCGGGCAGTTAGATTGGGCGATTTTGTAAAAATGATCCAAATACACCACTGGGTTTTTCCTCCATTGATACTGAATTTTTCCTCCAGTGATAACATCCTATTAAAACTTAAAAATAGATTCATGTTAACCACATGAGCTTTCTACCTACACTTCAATATGACTTTTGTATCCTTATCGAAAAAATGAATTTTTGAGAGAATAAAAGTCATGGGTCACGTTTCGAACAGTCAATGACAAAGACGTTCGTCAATTGCTTCACACTGCAACCCATTGATGTTAATGCCTCTCTCCTCTTTATATACAACCCAAAAAAGTGATCCACAGTTCCACAATGATCCTAACAAGACTTAACCAATACGTGCGGTATATACAACTAAAAAAGTGATCCACAGTTCCACACTGATCCCAACAAGACTTAACCAATTCGCGAGGTATATACAACTCAAAAAAGTGATCCACAAATTCCACACTGAAATTTCGGCCTATTTTCGGATGTTGAACATTCGAAAATCTTTCCAATTTTTGTTGTTCAACATCCGAAAATAGGTAAAGTCATCTTTTTTAAAAAACTGCGATATAAAAAGCAAAAAACGGATATACATGTAACAACATAAACTATTTGATAAATCTGTAATAAAGCAAAGTATAGCAAATATTTATGTAATTTTCTCAAAAAAAAAATCCGAACTTGTGTGGCTTTCGCCGCTCCAGCCAACCCGTCCCCTCCGAC